CCGGCGAAAGGCGAGAGAGAGACAGGTAGACTAAAAGAAGAGAGGGGAGAGAAGACACGGCATTCACTCTCGAGAAGACACTCACTCACTCTCGTCCCTTTGGTTCACCGCAGGCCGTCAGACATCTGTACCGAACGGCGGTATCCGAAGTGGGCTCAGCAACAACAAACACAACAACCACAATTCGCCGAGTTGGCGCTAGACTAGAGTAGTGCGGACTTTCATCCTTCTGTGACGAAGTGAGAACAAAAAACATGACTACACGGACGAGCTACAGTCCGTCCGCGATAGATGTGCACCGCTGCACAGAGCAGCAGACTGTTGGTTTTGCCATTCCTCGCTTTCTGTTGTAAATAAGATTGTGCTGCCATCTACCTTATCGCTCAAGTTACGAATGACTACGCAGCAGACTCAACAAGCATCAACAACCTTATTCGATGTATGCCACCCATGCATATGCCGCTTAGACTAATACGAGCATACCACCCATGCATATGCAGCAAGAGAGAAAAAAGGCCTGTTGTTGTCTGTCTCAACTGCTGTTGTGCTGTTGTTGCTTTTCATGTATAACGACACAACGGGCGACCAAGTAAGCGACGCGCATCGCCTACTACGCGACGCGTGCACCCCAAAGCGGCAGACACGATAGCCTACAACCTTGTCTGAAGCAATTCAGTAACAGCAGCATGGTCACTCAGGAAGAACAAAAAAAAACAATGGGAAAACGACACAAAAGGGTATACCCTGGTCGAAAAGCGACACACCTGGGTACACAGTCATTAACAGCAGTAAATGCATTCATATGATTGGTCAGCGCCCAATTTCACCCCGGTACGTCCGAAAAGGCGCAGGGTATATACCCTGCTGTGTCTACTTTTCTCACCAACTGTACCCTGTTTTCGGAAGTGTACCCTGACCTGACGGGAAATAAGACCCATTCATCAATCATTTCCCCCGCAGGAATCTTCCCAACTCCTTTTCCTCTCCAACCATGGGGTACCAAACGGCGAATCTTCCCACCCAATAACAACCATGGCAACGCGGCAGGAATCAGTTTCCGCCCCTGCCAAACAACACCAACCATCAACTCTTCCGCTCGAAATCAACAATGGCCGGGCACTACCCCAGCACAGTTGTTCCGTTTGGAATCATGCACACGCGTGCAATACCCCGTGCACCACTGCTTGCTGCAGTCTATATGCGAGATGCACGGGTCACGCTATGAAAGCGAGACCGATCCAGCATGGTTGACATGCATATATATATGCATGTATGTGCCCATGATGTGTGGCGCTGCGCTGAGCGGGCGGAGGAGAGAGGCAGCAACACCACACACAGACACGCCCTTGACACCAATCATGGAAGGAGGAGCGAGTGCTAACAACTCTAGCAGCAGGACTGTGTCGTCCAACTCAATCACCCTCCCTGTGTTCGCGGTGTATTTCATCGGCTCATCCCGCTGAAGCCTGACGTCTTCTTACTACATACATTGATTGGTTGGTCGGCTTGGTCGGCTGGTAAGCGCGACCGCTGCTGTTACAGCAGTAGTAGTAGTTCAAGCAAGAAACACATCGCAATTGAGACACAACAGACAACACACCCACGCACACACGGCACAGGCAGGAGGGAGTGGCGGCGCCCAACGTTACCCGTGTAGTGCTGTGTCCATACATGCATATATGTATATGTATGTCAACCATGCTGGATCGGTCTCGCTTTCATAGCGTGACCCGTGCATCTCGCATATAGACTGCAGCAAGCAGTGGTGCACGGGGTATTGCACGCGTGTGCATGATTCCAAACGGAACAACTGTGCTGGGGTAGTGCCCGGCCATTGTTGATTTCGAGCGGAAGAGTTGATGGTTGGTGTTGTTTGGCAGGGGCGGAAACTGATTCCTGCCGCGTTGCCATGGTTGTTATTGGGTGGGAAGATTCGCCGTTTGGTACCCCATGGTTGGAGAGGAAAAGGAGTTGGGAAGATTCCTGCGGGGGAAATGATTGATGAATGGGTCTTATTTCCCGTCAGGTCAGGGTACACTTCCGAAAACAGGGTACAGTTGGTGAGAAAAGTAGACACAGCAGGGTATATACCCTGCGCCTTTTCGGACGTACCGGGGTGAAATTGGGCGCTGACCAATCATATGAATGCATTTACTGCTGTTAATGACTGTGTACCCAGGTGTGTCGCTTTTCGACCAGGGTATACCCTGTTGTGTCATTTTCCCAAAAACAATTGTGGCGCGCAGCACGCAGGACCCTCTTTCGCTGTTCAACCGGCCGTTTCCATGGCGAAACAAACAAAGAACATTCAAGGCCGAGTCGTGTCGGCCACAGGAAGTGGAAGCTGCTGAAACTCGGGGAGGGGTCATGGTTTGCGATTCCCTACCGAACCGTACTTGGGGCGCCACGATATTTGCACTGTAGCTCGAGATCAGCATTTGAGACCGGGTCGGGCAAGGGGTGGGGTATGCGAATAAAAGTTCCACCCACCCACGGATATTGAAATATGAGACTGAAGCTAAAGCTTCAGAACTTACTCCTCTTGTGTGATCGTGTTTCCCATGGTCTGTGGGACTTTTTCTCGCAAACACCAACAACGGATCAAAGAGACGCTCAACGTGCCCAAGAACAGTCATAGACGTAGACTGCTCAGTACCACAACTTCTATGTTTGAACTTCTCGATCTTTTGGAATTGAAATGTAAATGACCGCTGCCAGAGTTGTGCGAGAGGACTTCTGTGTCGCGTCGTGTTTTGCCATGAGCAACATCAGGAGTCTTGGTCCACGCTGCGGGTACGCACGCCCCAGTTGGTGTGGTGGGTGTGCACACAACAACACAGCAGCTGTCTGTCACAGCAGCTGTCTGTGTAGGCGCGTGGGCGCGTGGCAAAAATCAAAAGTTCCGTTTTCGGTTTTCATCCCGTTCGAGGAGACTTTCATGGTTCGGATTCCGAACCCCTGAGAAAAGAGCCAGTCCCAGCGACTTCAGGCGGCCCGAACGCGCACCATCGGTGTCTCGCGAGCCCCACACGTAACGGGTAATATACCGACGGGCCCTCTGCGTGCCATGCAGAAGAAAGTGCGAGAAAAAACGCTGTCATGGAGAAAAAACGAAGGAGACTACCAACAAGGTCGTAATCCTACATATGCATATTAAGCAGGGCGGCTGTTTAGGGTGTACTTGGATACAAGATACGATCTGGAGAGTTTGTGCGTGGGGGGGTACTGTTGGGGGTCCAAGTGTGAGGCCCCTCGAGAGAGAGCGCGCACATGTGTTCACTGTATATCAGTTTTTAATTGTGCTTGAAGGAGCACGAGGTATTCTAGTCGAGGTTTCATGCATTAACATCGGTATTCCCCACACTGTATTCCATACTACCGTGGGTGGGCGCTTCAGCCTCCGTCGAAAAGCGCGGGGGCCACAAACAGCACGAAGATATGCCGACACGACAGGTCCACACGAGCACACGCTTGGATGGTCGTATTTTTGTGTCTCACATTCTAACGTCTCAATTAAGTGATTGGCTGTACAGTACATACAGCACAGAACAATAGCAGCTCGTTTCCCGGAACACAATCGTCAAACTTTTTCTCTACCTTGAGCACTTGGTATCTTCTAATGTAAGACTATCCTCATGCCTGGAATCGGACATGGAAATTGGACATGATGATGGTACCCCCTTGTTTCCACGTCAGGGGCCTCGGTTGACCTCTGAAGATAGTAAGTATACTCATCTCCTGTCTTCTACCCCTCTCTATGGGGGCTTAGAGGTCTGATATCTCCCCGCACACCCGGGGGAGACTGCCCTAGGGGGTCGACTGAGGGCATTTCGCTCTCTGGTCTTTAATACTGAAGAATTCAGGTTGACTGGGCAGCTGTGAGCTGTTTCGTTGGTCAAAAACAAGCGGCGGAGGCAACTACATCGGAAGTATCCGCTCTCTGGTCTACACATCGAAGGGAGGGGCAAGGGGGTGTAGGCTGAAGCCTCCGGACTGATCGTGATCCTTCATTCATTCACCCATTCACATGTTTCTTACCGTTCTGTGAGACCTACTAGACCGTAACAGTCTCTTTGAGGATGCGCTCACGCGCATCGCCAAGAGGCAATGGCCTGGAATATCGTGAGCGAACAGAAAAAACACAGCAGCATTGAGTCACTTCGCGCTTCCAAACCTTCTACGGCTAGGGCTGCCTCCAATCCGCCACCTTTTGGTACGACGGTATCAAAATGCCTGTGATGCCTGTAGAAGAAAAATTGTATCCGCAATCAAGGGTGTGCGCGGAAATAAAGTCAACGCACGCAAGGGTGACTTCTTACAGGCAACCGATAGTTGGGACTACTGGTACGATTTACGATTTAATTTCGATGGGCACACCCCCCCCCGCCCCCGTTTGCCAAGCCCCCGCGCCCAAAATCTCCTAAAGACAGACCTCACCCCACATTACCACAGCGTGCCCCCGCGATGATGGTCGCGTCGCCACAAAACCTTGAAGGCTGGCTCTACGCACAACATCTGTGACTTCTTTGAAGCCTGCCCTGATCGCTATGGGATCTGTGTTATCCGAGACATTTTAATCCGTGTGCGAGCCTTTCTTATTGTTGTGCGTTGGCTGTGATCATGACCAAACGGTGCGTCGGAGCCATCCATCCGTGTTATCTGACTGCAACGTCACACCCACCACCCCCACCCTAGTCTAGCTGCCTCATTTTCTTCTCATGGAGGAGGCTGGCGAGAGACGATACATACATACATACGTGGACGGAGACGCTACTCTCACAAAAGAACCATTGTTTTCAAGACTTACACCGGCGTCCGATCCATTCCCTGGCTTTGCCAAACGAGGCCGACAAATAGGGAGTCTCTTGCCATAGCCAAGGCTAATGAGAAGGAAGACGCGCTGTCTACGACAAGCATATCCGGCCTCCTCTAATCTACTGCAAACTGAAATTGAGGCGAGCCAATCAACCACAGTATCGATAAACCTCATCGTCTCCCTTTCCTCTGCCACTGGTGGTTGCTGGTGCGGCCGGGCCAATAGAGCTCCTGGTTGTGTTGCTTGGCCTGTAAGGCGTTTCTATCCCCCGGGGTTCACCGAGGCGGGTGGGTGCTTCTTTGCTTGAAAGCGAGACAACGAGGACCCGATTCAGTGAGGCTTTTGTTCCATTTCTAATCAGCTGAGGCTTGTTTTATCCTCTCTACTCTACTTGCATCACCAATCTTCTCCCCATCCAAAATCATCCCCACTAATGCTCCCGTCGCACTTGAGCACCACCTTACTCGAAACATCCGGAGAGTTGATGTTAAGGACGCTGCAATCGAAAGGAGGCGAACGGGCGATGGTTACAGGGTTAGGATCGCGTCTCATGTCTCACGATGCGGTATCAGACTCTTGCCGACGATTTGAGCATACCAAGTTCCTGTGCAGGGGATATTCAAGAAAACAATCACACACACATATGGTCGACTTACAGACAATCGTTGTTGTTCCGATGATCTTGAGCTAGGTCCACGATCTTCACTTCTGGGTTTTCGTGGAAGAATATCGATATCTCCTTGGGACCGTTATCGCACAGTATGGCATCTTCCATGCTCATATCTTCCTGAACCCAGCAAAAGAAACATCACCACAAGGAAGAGGCAAGCGTGCAGATTGTCGTCATCTAATTAACTTCCATATCACCTCAGGCTTAGTGGTATCTTCTGAGGAATATACGCGAGTTTCTGCGGTCACAAGCCACCACCGCATAGATAAGATACAATGCGCGTGACCGAGAAAAAACAATGCGTCCAGAGTGTTTCGAGTACCAGAACATGATTCATTCTCTATTGCAGTTAGTTATAGATAGATAGATGCTTGCACTGTATAAGCAGAACACATCTCAAGGGACTAATAAACGTGAGGGCAGTTGGCTCCCCCAGCAGACCCGTCAGCTCACTGCCCCACATCCCAAGAGGGAGGCGTTGCTACCATATCCTGTCATGTATTGTAGAAGATTCAAGAGAGGGAATATGCCCTCGTCAGAACGGAACGAAAGGAGAGAGCAGCACATCAAAATAATCCCTTCCGCAGACGTCGAATTATTTTGTCTATGAAAGAGGACAACATCTTTGGGAACAGAATAGACGTGTATCCCCCGTCCGCTCTCAACTTCCGACTTGGGTGTAAGTACAATTTGGCCAGGGGGGCAGGGAGGTTCATCCTACGCGATGCAATAGCAAGGCCCGAAGGCCAACTCAAACCGGTGGGGGGGCCGGTCGGGGAATTAAAAGCTACGTCGGCGGGGAACGTCCAGGTTGTGAAAGAACTCTGACCACCAAAATACAATACCACTGCGTACACCTAAAACCTTTTTTATGTATACCGTATATGTTGCCATCTCGATGCCAGGAACACAACCACCATCTTAACATGTAGGTTTCGAGTTGCTTCACGGTGCCATGTGTGTCTTGATGACACTAGGTTCAGGTGGCCTAGGTCGCCACCGTCCACGGATCGGTTCCAAGCTACTTTCAAGAAGGCACCCGTAGTTGTAACATATGCGTGCATTGGCATGAAATTATTACTAACGCACGGAATGGGTGCCACCACGAAGAACATATGCTACCTAGCACCGAGCTACAGCTTTTGCCGAATCATGACAGAAATCCGCATCGTCAACCATGTTGTAGTCCACTGTGCGCAGCCAGGTTTCGAACAAACATCCTAGTGGACAGATCGCGAACATGATAGGACAAACATGTGGCTACGTCGAGGGACAAAGTATACAAGCACAACGACGAGAGACAGGGAGTATTACGATGACATGCTTGCGTAGAACGGGGTGAATATTATTCACTATAATGGGGTGCGGCAACTTCGGTACAATATCTCAACAGGTGCACTGCGAGGGGGGGGAGGGCTGTACTCATAGTCGTGCATGCCGTAATCATTACACCATTGACCTCGCATCCCTACAAAGCCGGGACGGAGCACGCCGGGTTCTCACCGGACCAGGCTCTCACATCACCAAGCGCGAAGCGCCGTGAGGTATTCGGCGAGTCGCATGAAGGGTGAGCTGCATCCTGCTAAGGGTGTTCGGCATCTTGTGCTTACTTCCTTGCATACGGATGACAGCTGCATATGACTTACTTTATTTTCTGGTGCTTTCACTTCCAGAGACAGGTATAAGCATTGTGTAGCTGCCTCGAGGATGCTTGACCATTTTAACACAACGTGGTGCGATCATCCCCCTTGCGCGGAGTGAGGTTTCTCCACCCCGCACAACATGATCTACTCGACCACCATTATGGTTACCGCCAAAAAAAAAGAGGTAAAAAAAAAACCGGTAACCTGGTTGCCGAGTTCACGAAGTGAATTGGCTTATTTTACAACGTCGTTGCCAAGCGACGAAAACCCAATCCCGATGGCAAACACCGAGAGGGGGCTTGTTTTACAACGTCGTTGCCAAGCGACGAAAACCCGACCCCGATGACAAACACCGGGGGGCGGCTACTGTGGGGGGGGGGGGTATACTGTGTGGGGACTCGAGCGCGCGCCCCCCAAGACAGAGCACGCACATGTGTGTGTAAATTCTTCGTGTCCTTGTCTCGTTGTCTGTGTGCGGTGTTTTAAGTACTGCTAGGAGCACTCAAGCAAAGGGTGGTGTCGTCATCGTTCGGTCCTGGGTTGACAAACATTGCCCCATACTATACCCCAAATTCTGCTTCAAGGCGTGGAGTGCACCAACACGATTCAGTTCACAAACATGGGGAGGAGACTGGTCGTGGAGTGTAAGCAGTGGGGAGAAAGACACTAATCACGCATAGACAAGTAACCCGGGAAGCTATGGTTCGGGCCCAGTCGAGGGTACCGAAAGCAAGGCCAGGCACACGTGCTTGTTTGGCTTGCGCAAGCGGTGACAGTTCTTTAACTTGTGCGGTAAAAAGGGATGAAAAGTGGAAGAGCGGAGTGGGGAGGTGTGCGCGAAAGAGACTCGATTTCCACACAAATCAGCAACGTCCTGTGGGGGAAGCTGCGCCGCAGAATGACGTGCCCCTCAGGTCCATGGAAACCTTGCTCTCTGAGAGAACAGGCAGCAGCGGGTCGAACGAGAATGTCAGGCATAGCCGGCGTTCGGTTATTGTAGAACGGATGAACAATTCCGACGGGAGAGCATGGCCAGCCACACTGAACTGCTGACATTTCAGCGCTCGAGAGCGCGTGCATGAAACGTTGTAAACAACTGACAGAACCTATCAGCGGTAGATTTGACGCTCTTTGTGGTGATATGAAGACTAAGATTATTGTAACGTGTGCAGTGGGTGCGTGGGAGTATAGCAAAGGGTGGTCAACTCTTCCCTTGGAACTAGAAACTGACTCTTGCTGTCGCATTGTTGGGTTTATGGTGTATATTTTCCCTAAACGTACAGACATCCATCTTCAGTTTTGTTGTCTTTTCCCGCCAACTGATTTGATGGCGCCCCGCAAATTCTTTACACGTTGAGAAGTTACGTCTCGCCTCGGCCGTTCCCTCGTATACGTGGTCCACACAACTTCTTCCTATTCGCTGTGATACCCTTTGAGGGAGAGCCCCGGACGCCCCCCCTCCCCGAAAAATATTGCCGAGAAGAAACTTAGACAACGCCGATTTTTTGTAGTACTTTTTCGCACCTCATCTCTTCGTCCGTCTTTCTTACAATACCCTAATTTTCTGGCCCGTCGATGAGTCGTCTTGTTGCCAGAAGCTTTGGAGGCTTTTCGTTCGGCATGTTGTTATCGTTGGTGTTGCTGCCGTCCGGTTGTTTTTCATTTCGGCGCCTATTTCTCCAACGATTTCAATTGAGAGTCACCGTATTCTTGCCTACAAACATCCGAGTTGCTTGTCACAGGCCTGCTGGTACCGTAAGACTCGCGAAGCATCAAGTTGCTCTTGCCCATTGACTACGGAAGCCGCATTCAGCATGCCGTCGGTCACCGGACATCGGACAGCAGAGAAACACGCAAGTGTTTCGAAACAACACATGGCCAAAGAAAAGAGGCGATGGAACACAAGAAACAGCCCCTAACCAACACTGAACAGGTTTTTTAAGGTTTAGATGAGTGGCTGAACACCGTGGGGTCCAGCTCGAGAGGTCCGGGGCAATACAAGGGTATTTACATGTCTGAGGGTGCCCCGAACAGTAAAAACAATGACAACGACACAAACCCAGAGGATTTATGACTCCCAGGGCATTGGGTTGGCGAAAATGACCTCCCTACCTCTGAGTATGTACCAGCGTGTACTTTCCCCAAATTATTAATGCTCCCCACGTGCTTAATCGGAGTGATATTTAAGCGTACTTGTTGTTTTTCGTCCCCCTTCTCTCTTTCACTTTCCCTATTCCACCGTAGTTAGTGTTGAGGTGGTGAGTTTCTTCCTCAGCAAGCATCAGAGCCGGTCGCCCCGTGGTGGTACTACACCGCGCAAACCTACTAGAAGCAGATTTTGTGGGCTCGTTTCTCTCTCTGGAAGGTTTTCTTTGCTTACAGTTTGCAGTGGTGGCCAACGATAAACATTTCGTGAGTACACACACTTCAACTTCACGATCTACGAGGGAACGGGCGGCTGAACCCTTTTCGCGATTACATTTAAGACAAGCCTCGCAGGAGGACAGGTCGGGCACACAAGGGTCCTGTGTGAACTTCTACCTGTGACCCCGGCTGATACGTCAAACATATACACCGAGAGAGACTGGCACCAAAGTAAACGGGGGCGAACACACACACATCCATTTTTCATTCTTTGTTGCCAAGTCGACTTTTTCTCTAGTTGCTGATCTTGTTTCGTCTTAGGTGGAATCCTCGAGCATGAAAAAGCAGAACTTCAAGAAACAAACAAACTCCCTTGGCCGACGCAGCGACTCCACACCACCTCTCCTACACTAACCTGTCTTCTCATTTCCTCCTTGTAGAGATCAGCAATCGCCTTGATCATGTTCCGCCTGCTCACGTCGTAGCCACTGTCGTACTCACCTGGTTCATGTGTTGCAAGTAGATTAGAACAGGTGGGTGAAACATACGAGCGTTCATCGGGAAAATCGAAACGTCGGGATCAGCTCTCAACTGGTGCCATGGTTGAAAATATTTTCGTGAGGGGGAAGTCGATCCACCTTCCTGACGGTTCGGCCTCAGAGTTTGGCGTTCCGCCTCTGTAGCTCCACTAATGTCAAGCCGACACCGTCGTAGGAAGCTTTTGTTCTTTGTTCATTCACTAGAGCCGGTGATGACTTCGCACTACAAAGGCAGGCAAATCACACAGAAGGAAAAATAGGAACCTGCGTGAGAACACAGGTGGACGTTCACCCCCCTTCCCCAAAATGTCGGATGCCTTCGTCCCCTTGTGGAGACCTTGACAAGGTCGAATACCTTGGAGAAGACAACCAAGGCCTCAAAAATACCACGATTTCTCCCCTTTCGAGGCCTT